CTCTTTCTTCCTCCCTTCCCCTCTGTCTAAAAATAAATAAATAAGATACTTTTTTAAAAAGCTGAGGACAGAGGAGACCAGTTTTGGCAGAGAGGTGGAGCTAATGTGAGCCAATGGGATTTCTGCAAGTTGCTGTTGGGGTGGGACGGGCATGGTCAGGGTCGTACTGGAAGGAAGAGAGTTTGGTGTTAGAACTCTGGTGGGCTGCTGCCTAACTGCGGAACAGGGCAAACTCTTCAAGCCTCACTTTCCTCATCTATGAAGTGGAGTCTGGGGCGACCAGCTGATGATGAGACTTGGAGGACCCCACACACAGACAGGGGGCCGGGGGAAGGCCTCGCACTGGAAACGCCCCTGGCGGCGGGTCCGCCCCTACCCCCTGCCTGTGGGTCCCCAGAACAGACCGACTGTCTCCGGACAAATCCCTCTCCTCTCCCATGCGGCACTGCCGGGCACTGGGCTGCAATGAGCCATAGGGATGACTTCGTGGTCCAGCCGAGACAGGTGTGTCCCAGGGGACCTCTCCTGCTCTGCCCTCCTCCTCCCCCGGCCCGGGTCCCCAGGGCTGCCTGGCTTGGGCTGGAGCCACCGGGTCACGGCAAACGTACAGCCGTCCCAGGATGGGAGAGCAGGGTCTGGGGAGGGGAAACCTGACTCCCGCTGCCCCTGGAGCCTGCGGGTCTGGGGCCTCTGAGAGGCGCAGTTCTCCAACTGGCCAGATGACGAGAGTCACCTGCCCGCCAGCCTGGTTTTGCAGGCTCGTCCCGGGGGAGTCCTGTTCACGGGAGCCAGGCAGGCAGGGGGTGGAGTATGGCCCAGCCTCCTGCGGTCTGTGTCTTCCGGCAAGTTCGAGAACTTTGGAGAGTGGTTCAAACAGCCAGGGCTCCGGTGGAACCGTCCGGGTACAGCGCGACCCCTCCCCCCACCCCTTCCCCGGTCCACAAGACCAGCGTGGCTCGGGCAGGCAACATCCTCAGCTTCTCTGCGTTTCAGCTCCCTCCTCGGGTCGTGACTGGATGAGAGCCGCAGGGCCCACATGCGGCCCCGGGCGGGGCAGGAAGTGGGCGAGAACGGGTGTGGGGCAGGGATCTGCACCCAATCCCAGGCACCCCGTGGCGGCTCTGGGTGACCTGCACGGCAGGGCTGCTCACTCCGGTGAGCTCTCCCGGCGGGGGGGGGGGGCAGCGGACTGTCCCCCTGGAGCCCTGGCGGCCACGCCTCCCCACGGTGTGGTCCTGGGCGAGTCACTGCTCTCTGTGGCCAAGGTGAAGAAGAATTGTGCCACCTGCTGGGCTCGTTACCCCACCTCACACCAACAAATCTCTACAGACTTGTCAGCCAGTATTATTACTGTATTCTCCAGCCAATGGACACATTGACAAGGTGGCCTCGGTGTCTACGCTTTGAGCCGGGGGTGGAAAAACACCGTGCTCTGGGACTCGGGAGCCAGACTGCTGGGTGTTCAAGCAGCTGTGGCACTGCCTGCTGTGTGACCCTGGGCCAGTCACTCCTCCTCTCTGGGCCCATGATGGACTGGTCTGTCTCCTCAAAGGTGCGAGGGAGGGTTAGAGGTACTCCCTTGTAAAGGGCTCAGGACAGTGCTTGGCATCTGGTGAACTCCATGAGTGATAAATGCATGGATTCCAAGCCACCAGCCCCTTTCCTAGCAGCCCAGGCTAGAGGGGAAGTCGGCAAGACCTGGGGGCTGCGGGGTGGCCCCTCCTGTCCAGGTGCAGCCCCTGAGCCTGCAATACTTCCCGCCGGAGGTGGGGGCCCAGCCCGGGAAGGGCGGCGCTCTGGCTGCTGCCGAGTGTGCCGGTCTGCAGTGCGCCGGCGGGGATCTGCGAGTTCTTGTAAATACAGGTGTGGCGACACACAGCATCGGTGGATTTGAGGGGAAATCTATACAAAATAAACAGATGGAAGCTATTCTGATTTGGCCAACACCTGTTTCTGCTGGCTGGGGATGCCGCAAGGAAGCGAGAGGACTTCCGGGAGGGGGAGGGACGAGATGGGGGAGCGCGCGGTGGCCTGGCCTCTCCATCCCGGGAACCCTCTCCTCTGCGCGCGGCCGAAGGGCCCCACCCCATCCCGGGGGGGCGGGGGCGGCTTCCTTGTTTTTAGTACCACGGTTTAGCTCTCACTAATTTTCGTGCGTGGCGTGTGCTTGTCTGACTTTTTAAATTGTTAAATGTAGCCAGCTCCCCTCTAGGCCCCGAGGCGCTCCGCACTGGCCGAGCCGCCCGCGCCACCCCGGTCTCCGAGCGCTTTGCCACCCTGAAGGCACTTTCAGTTCTGTTCTCCGCTTCTCCATCCTGGCTGCGCCTTCTCCCTCCGCACGCGTCGCTTATATAATCATCGGAAAACCAAACCAACACCGCCGGTTTAATTTGGGGCGGGATCCCTGCATAAACGCCGGGCGGGGGCGGTTAGTTTACGGCACTCCCGACCCTGCGCCCCCAAGAGCCGCCGGGCGCTTCCCGGAGCTCCGCGCGCCACAGTTGGCCCCGAAGTGGATGTGGAGCCTGAGACCCTCGCCCACGGCTGAGAGCGTGGGGTCGGCTGGGTGGGCGCCCTGAGCAGGGTCCCTCCGCACCTTCCTGGGAGGAACACTGCTTCTTAAACGTGTCCCCGCCCCCAGGGACGTCCCCTCCGCCCTTCGGCGTGTGGCCCGCGCTTCCCAGCTCAGCTCTCGGAAAATGTGTGACCTTGACCATTGATTGACCTCCGGCGCTCAGTTTCCTGGCTTGCAAATGAAGATGGATTAGATTAGAGAACTGTAAAGCATTTAACCCTGGCATTCGGGGCGGCCAGTGCCCGCCAGCCACTGTTACCCATCTGCGAGAGACCTTGGGTGTCTGTGGCTCAGCTGGTCCCTGACAGATGAGGCAGAGAGGAAGGCACCATAGGAAATTCCTTGCGGGACAGCGAAAACGGAGAGAAATACTGTTTCGGCCAGCACCGCAGGCCTGTGTGAGATGAGGAAGACCCTCGGGTGTGCGGAACCCCAGAGGGTCCTGGGAGAATGCACTGGTCTGGTTACCAGCCAGCGCCAAGGTGGGGGAATTCCCGGGAGGACGGCCTCCGCGGCTGTGTGGGCTGGGCTGTGTGGGCTGGGCGGCCTGCTAAGGCTGCGGGGCAAGGATGCCGGGCGGGAGAGCCCCGAGGGCCTGAAGAGCGGGTCTGGTGGCCTGGCGGAGCCTCGGGGTGCTCCTCCTGGAGAAGGGACCGCGGCGCGCATTGCCGAGACCGGCAGGGAGGGCTCCTCGCGCACGAGGCTCCCAGTGGGGTTCTAGGCCCAGGAGCTGAACGCGCCCCTCTCCCCCTGGCCCTCGCAAGCCTGGCTCGGACCTCACAACAGAGGGGATTCAAATCAGGGCCCAGAGCCCAGACCCGAGCTCAGCCCTGTCGCCTGCCTCCCCGCAGCCCAGCCCGCAACACTGCGGTGGCAGCGGCGGTGGGCCGAGAGCCTCCTCTTCCCGGGCACCCCTGCATGGCGCAGTGCATTGCCCAGCTCTCTTAGACTCTCCTGGCATCGCCCCTCCCCCTAAGCGGCTGGGCCAGGTTGGGGGTAGCACTTATCCGAAGACCACAAGGCGTCACTGGCGCAGGGCAGCGCTGCTCAACCCTGGTCCCCGGCGCCACAGCGGGACAGCACCAGGCCTGGCCAGGTGACTCTTAACGGGGCAGCAGGGGCGCACGGAGCCTTGCTCGGTCCCTGGACACCACCAGCAATGTTCTGAGTGCCACCCAGAGCTTTGGCCACCCGATGTCCCAGGCCCCAGGCGGCCAGCCCAGCATGTCCCAGAAAAAAAAAAGTCACATTAGACCCTTATTCTGTGAAAACTGAAAGCCCAGACTCCCTCCCACTCTCCTCCCCTTTTAAGAACCGGTGGTTCCTCCCAGCGCTGGGGCCGGCGGGCAGAGGAGCTGGCGGCCAGGCCCATGCACCTGTGGACTGGGGGATCGCGGCTCAGGGCGCAACACTGCCGCCACCCTCGCTGCACAGACAACAGGTCGGGGGCAGCAGGCCAGCCCGCAGCCAGGGTGGGGGGCGGGGGGGGTGGTTTAACTTGACTTGGCCTTGGCGCGTATCCTGGGCGGTAAACCCTGCACCGCCGGAGCATCTGTCAGTCAGGACCAGGGCGATGGCCGAGGAGAGGAGGACATGGGCGGGCTGGGGAAGCAGGTTCCCTCACCACTAAAGTCACGTGGCCTAGCCACTGCTGGGGTGAGCACGGTCCGTGGCCCTAGGATATCTCTTTGTGGTCCAGGTTCTGCCCTCTGCCCGCAGCTGGGCAGCGGGGGAGACTCCGGCTGCGGGACCCCAGCTGCTTCCGCCAGAGAACCGCTGGGCCGCAGGGCTCTGGGAAGCCTGACAAGGGCTCTGGTTCTCAGCTCTTCGTCTGTCCACCGGACTGAGGCGCTTCTCCCCCGAAGCGGGAGGAGCTGTGGTGCCCTCCAGTCCCACAGGGCCCGGGAGTCCGCTCGCTCTCCATATCCCCGCGAGCACCTGGAACAGCACGGTGCGCACAGCAGGAACAGCACCGTGTGCACAGCAGGGCTAAAGGAGGGGAGCTCGGCGCGGCGGGCCTCCATCTCTCCGGCGAGACCCGGAGCCCAGCCGCACGCAGTTAGTTCCACCAGGACTGACGCTCTGCCCCAGGCAGGTCATTCAACCTCCCCGACACTCAGTCCACTAACCTTTTACCCTAGAACCACCTTCCCGCGTTGTTGAAGGTTAGGAGAGACAATCCCAGAAAGTGCCCCAACAACGGACGCAACGTGGTTTAGCGGCGTCACCGCTTTGCTCAGCGCATGCGCCTCCACCTGCAGCTCGAGACGCGCAGGGGCAGCCTCTGCCCCCCCCCCCCAGATTCAGAGTCTGAAGCGCCGCGAGCTGAAAGAAGCACACGTGCTGGGTCAGCGCACTCTCTTTAATGGGAAGGGGAGTCTCATTACTTACAGCAACAGGTAAAAACATAAATACGGGTGGGTGGGTGGGTGGGCGGGCGGCGGCAGGGCAGCACGTGCCCGGGCGCCGGGCCCAGGCTGCAGAAAGGCGGCCCGAGCTCAGGCCCGGCGCGCCCGGGCTCCCAGTCCTAACTGGCCAGGGTTCGGCCCGCTGGGGTTGCCCGTGGGCGCTCGGGGTGCGCGCCGCGGCCGAGGGAAAGGCACCAGGGTGCGGGACGGTTCACCGCAAGTTGCAAACTCGGCTACCAACTCTCTCCCGCGTAGGGACAAAGGCCCGCGGGGCGGGGAAAGCCCCAAGGCCTCCGCGAGAGTGAACGGGAACCCCGAGGGCCGCAGGAACGAGTCCGGAGCCCGCCCTCCCTCCCCCCGAGGATCGGTGCCCTTCGATGGAGGTGGGATCCGTCCCGAGCGCCCCAGGCAGGTCCCTTCCCTACCAGGCTCGGATACCGTGCAGCGTGGACACTCCCGAGTTGCCCTGCGGAATCCCGGGGCTCTGCACCGCGTTCAAGTCCCCGACGCCGAAGTTCACGAAGTTGTTGTTGGCCGCGGCCGTAGCCGACTGCGCCGGGGGCGGCCCGGCGGGGTAAGCAGCGGCGCAGCTGTAGCCGGGGCTGCAGGCCGCGCCGCCGTAGCCCGGGTAGGCGGGGTAGGCGTTGTAGCCGTAGGCGTTGAGGCCCACGCCGTAGGCGGGCGCGTAGGGCGCCGAGTCCCCCAGGCAGGGCTTGCCGTCGCGCACCAGCACCGGCACCGCGATCCTGCGCGCGGGCGGCGGCGGCGGCGGCGGGGGCAGCCCCACCAGCTCCAGAGTCTGGTCCTGCCGCTGCCGCTTGCACTTGTAGCGCCGGTTCTGGAACCAGATCTTGACCTGTGTGGACGTGAGCTTCAGCACGCTGGCCAGCTGGTCGCGCTCGGGGGCCGACAGGTACCGCTGCTGCTTGAAGCGCCGCTCCAGCTCGTAGACCTGCGCCTGCGAGAAGAGCACGCGCGGCTTCCTCCGCCGCCGCGCGCGGGGTCGCTCCGCGCTGTCAGCCTCCGGCTTCTCCAGCTCCACGGCCTTCTGCAGCGCGCACAGCTCTGCGGGGCACAGAGAGGCAGAGAGACGCTCGGTCAGAACGGCCCGGCCCGCGAAGCCCGGGCGGGGAATGGGCCCTAGTCGGTGAGACTCCGACCTGCCTCGGGAGAGCCCAGCTGGGCGGCGGCTCCCCCTTGCCCGTCCACCGAGCACCGCGGGCGGCTCGGTTTCCGCTCCACAGCCAGCAGTTGTTGAAGGCCTACTGTGTGCCAGGCATGGCTCTGGGCGCTGGAGGACGAAACAAGAGCGGTCCCTGCCCTCCGGGAGGTCACACTGTGTGGTGCGGGGGCTGGAGAGAGATTCACGATTTCAGGCTGCAAAGAAAATAAAACCCCGGGGGGCGGCGCTGGGGTGAATTAGATTAGCGCCGCTTTGGTTCAGTGGAGGGACGCCGAGGCCTCGCCCAGCGTGGGTCACATCCTCTCAAAGTTACGGAACCATAACGAGAGAAGGCAAGTGGTGCTGGTTTGATGACCTAAGCCCCCCTCCCCGCCGTGAAACTGGCGCGGTGGCTGTGCAGCGCCCAGAGGCCGCAGAACCGGCCCTGCGCGCGAGCTCGAGGTGGAATTCCAATGGGTAGCAAGCACTTCAGCCCGCGGTGCCCGCCAGCATCTGTCCGGGCCTTCTCTGTGCTCCTAGACAAACCTTTCTGGGCTCACAGGAAGATGCTCTCCCTCGGGGCTCCCAGCAACCCTTCTCCCGGCGCCCGCGGCCGCCCCGGCTCTCGGGGACCCCGCGTTGAGCCAAGGCGTCACCAATGTGCTCTCTTCCGCGGGGGCGGGGGAGGGGTGGTCAGCTTCCCCTGCTTCTGGCAAGGCGCACGCTCGCGGGGTGATTAGGCCACCTCCCCAGGCATCTGTCTCCTCTGCTGCCCCGCACCTTTTGCCCCGCCTTTTCTAACTTTTTCCAGGGCAGAACTTCTCGGCCCCGAGCGCGTGGGGAAACTGGGCCGGAAAACTAGAGATGGCAAGTCAGATTCCTGACAGCCCGCGCAGTATTCCAGTTGTAAAATCGAGGCCCTTGTTCCCAAGATTACACTCTCCTGGAACAAAGGAGGGGAAGCCCCAGAAACGCGGGTTACGGTTGGGCATGAAGGTCCTGGACCCTCCTCCAACTGTGCGTGCGTAAAAGCACGTCTGGTGTGCAGCGTTTTAGTTTGTTCACCGATCTTCCTCAGGTCCTCAAAAAGGGGCCCCATATCCAAAAGAGACTTTAAAAAAAACACCGTTACAGAGAATCTCTCTCTCTGTTCTGTCTGCTGCTACCAATCGGTTGCTCAGCTGAACAGATCCAGGCGCAGGGCTGCCGCACCCGGGGCTTTGTTAGGCCCCAAAACACACTTTGTCTCTTGTTTCTGACCATCTCCGTCCGGAATTTTTCTCCCAAACCCCCGACTGGACGCGGGGCGCCGGGGCCCTGGCTACAGGGTCCCCTCTTCCACTCCCAGCCCCCTGCGCTCGGCCCTCAGCCCCGGCGCCGGGGTCTCCTCCACCCAGGCCAGACTTTGTGGGCGGCGGGGTTCGGGGACAACATCGACTCGGAAGCGGGAAGGGTCTTGTGTCTCGTCCTTACCTTTTTTATCCGATCGAAGGTCCTTGGCAGGGTCCGGGTCGCCGTATGCACGCGGGTAGAAGGCGGGGGCGGCGGAGAAGGCAGGCGCGCACTTGGCGGGCGAGGGCGCGGGGCCCAACTCGGTGCGCAGCTCCGGGAGGCCGGGCACGGAGGCCTCGGGCCCCGCGTAGGCCTCGGGCTTGAAGGCGGCCAGCATGCAGGAGGCGGGCGCCAGGGTGGCCTCCAGGCGCGCCGAGAGCTCCCCGGAGGCCAGGCCGCGCTGCTGCTCCAGGTTCAGGATGTCTTTGACCGAAAACGGCGTGGGTGCGAGGGCAGGGCTGGGGAACATGGTGGCAGCGCGCGTCTCACCACGCCAGGTGGGCGGCAGTGAGCCGCGCTGCCCACGGCCCCTGGCAGCCTCCCTGCATGGTGCCCGCCGCCCTCGCGCCCGCGCACCCGCTTCCCCACTCCAGTTGTGGCCGGGCGGCAGGTAGTGCGGGGCTCTGGGGCGGCGGAGGCGGGATCAGGCCGGAGGAGGGGGGCTCAGCTTGCTATTGGGCCAGGGGCTGTGTTGACAGGAACGATGAGCAGTTTCGTGTCACCTAATATAGTCATTAGACTAAAAAAAAAAAAATTCCTGCTCAGCTTTTTAAAGGGGCCGCAACACACTTGAAAGGCTCTCCTTCTGCTCCTGCAGCATGAGGTGCCCCCACAGCGTCCACCTGGAAACCCCTCCACGATGCATGCACAGGAAAGAGCTCGATTTCCCCCGAATCTGGGCGGGGTGGGGAATGCGAGGAGATGTTTCCCAGCACCTGAGACAGAATGGCAGAGGGAAGGACCGGGAGGGGGCCGGGGAGGGGTGTCATGTGCAGGGGTCTTAAAGGCTTTGTCGCCGAAGGTGTAAGACTGGGAAGAGTCCGCAGAAAACAAGGAGGGGTGTTGCTGGGGGTGATCGCAGGAGGGGCAGATTCCGGACTATGTGGGGGCTCTGTTCGACCTGGCTGAGGGGGCCGGTTCTGCCCCAGTGGTCCCCTCCTTCCCCGGGGGGGCGGGGGTGAGCTTGGGTGCATCCAGCAGAAAGGCCAGATGGGTGGTGTGGTGTTGGAGTTTTACACACACAACTCCAGGGGGCACCAGTCACTGCCAGTCTCCTCCCAGAGAGCTGACCCTCCCCTTAATAATGAAAGAAGTCCAGAATCTCGGCCCGCAGACAGCTTCCCGGAGGAGGGCTGCTTTCTAGGGTGCCCTAGCTCCCCGAGGCCTACCCTCTCCCATTCTGGACCTCACCACTCCTGCCTCCCTCCCTCCCCTGTCCACACCAAGTAGCTGTAAGGCCCCCAGGCCCCTGCCAGCCCCAAGGCCTCAGGCCCCAAACCAGGCTTGGCTCTCCAGCGGGCGGGGCTCCTCTGAACACGGCGGGAAGGATTTCTGCGAGGTCTCTGGGCCAGATCCGAGTGGGGCACCCTGACTGCGGAGTGGCCAGGAGTGTGGGGGAAGCGCAGGACCGGGGCGGGGGGTATTTAGCCCAGGGTCAGTGAAGTGGGGGTCTTCGGTAGGGAAAATCCACCCGTAATTAACGTGGGAGCACAAGCTAGCAAGCCCGATCCCAGCGCCGCATCCTCTGGGTTCCTTGGGGGATGTGATACAGGCTTCTGGCCTCCCCCTCGGCCCCAGAACTCCGCTCCGAGGTGCTCCATTGTCCGTGCAATTTCAGGGGGTTCTGGCCCCAGGAAGAACGGCCCCAGGTTAGGGTCGCCTTCTCCTGTCCCTGGGGAGAAGCGTCGATTTCCCACGACCCAAGTTTTTGCCGGCCAGGCGCAGGGGAGGCGCGGACTCGGCGAGCATGGAGGCTGGGAGGGCGAGTGGGAGACAGACAGGGGTAAGCAGGGCTGGGATTAGAAGAAAGTCTGCTCAGGGCCCAAGGCAGGCAAGCCAAGGGCCCGGCTCTGGCCTAAGGCTTCAGAACATAGGCGCCGGGCGCAGGGGAAACGCACAAAGCGCCGAGGGGACACGGTGGCGACTGTCGTCCAGAACGTGAACCTTAGGCTGCTCGTGAGGGGCCGTGAGCGGTGGGGCAGCGCAGTGGGCAAGGGCCCCCGAGGAGTCAAGCCTAGGCCCAGCGTGGAGGCCCTCCCGGCCCCTCATCAAGCCCATACTCGCAGGGTCTGTAGCCTGCGAACTAGGGCGCAGGACCGGGGAGCCGCGCGGGGACCGGAGGCTCGGAGCACTCCGACCCCGGCTTCCAGGCGCCAGCCGCCAGCATCAGGCCTGGGCTGCTGGAGCGGAGTCTCGCTTGGGTTTGCCAGCCGGGGTCGACGCGCGGCTCTGGGGTCCTTCGCTGGTTTTGCAGAGAGGTGCCTGGTTTCCAATGTGCGGGTTATCCAGGCCCAGGAACCTACTGCCCCCGCCCACCTCCCAACCCCCCAACCAGCCTCCTCCGCGGACCGGTCTGCACACCCGTGGCCTCGCTTTGGCCTTTCCTCGCCAGAGTTTGGCCAACCTTCTAGTCGCTGCTCTCAACTAACCTAGCTTAGGGGCCCGCCTCGCCTTTGAAGGTTGCTTTTTGGGGGAGTGGGAGAGGATCCCTGTCGCCCAGGCGGTGACGCCTGGCAAACGAGCCACATCCGATTCAATTAAACGTCTCGCAGAAAGGCGCTCAGAACCGGGGTCCCGGGAGCGCTGCTAAGTGAATGCGCCGGCCGGGCGGCCCTCGATGACAGTTTGAAAGATTAGCGGGAGCTGACGCCTGAAATATTACCGTTTAATGGGGAACATGGAGGCCGCATCCGGGATCCCTGTTTTTAGTGGGGTTTAAAAAATTTTCTTTTAAGGAGATAGTTCTGGAGGGAGGGAAAAAAAAATCCTAGCATTTCCTCTGCACGTCAAGGCGGTGAAGATTTATCACTTATTTCAACTTATTCCTGGTATGGGGGTTTCCCGGGCTGACACACCTGTGGGTCAGGTGTCCAGAAAAGGGGAGGAAAGACCCTTCCCCCCTTGCCCCCAGTTTGGACACTGTGGTGACTTCTCCTCCCCTACACCCTCTGGGGGGGTCCCGTCACAATTTCCCCCGGCTCTGAAACAGGCCTTAGCGTTCATGCAGGGAGAACACTGGGGCCAAAGCGGATGAGTAGGGGCAAAACCGAAATTGGGACGACCCACCCCGGGTCTCCCCCTGGACGTGTGTCCGAGAGCAATCTCTAACTTGTATCCCCCGTCTTCTCTGTTTGCGAGTGAGTGAACACGGTTTTGTTTTCTCTAACTATTAGTCGAAATGCTGGGGGATGGGGAGGGGCGAAACCGGATTCCCCAGCCCCACCGGGGAAGAGTCTCTTCCTTTCCAGGGGCGGCGGACCCGTCCGGGACGCCTCTCTAAGCCGCACTTGGGCGAGCCGAGCAGGACAAACAAACAGCCTTCAGCCCAGCAGAGAAAGGCGGAGAGACACACACACAAAAGGAGGCAAAGACGAGAGGGAGAGAGAGAGATCGAAAGTGCCTCCGTCTCTTTTCTTGCCTTTTAAAGAATTGCTGCTTTAAGATGAGCCGGGTTCCAGGACCACTCGTGCGCCTTGTGCGCACATAAAATATTATTAATTGGAGAGCGATCGGCGCGGCCCGAGCGGCCCCCGGTCCCTGCCGTCAGCCCCGCCGGCCGGCCGAAAAAGGTATATATGATTAATTGAAAGATAAGCTGGAACTATAACCGGGAATGTCATTAATGCGCCAGGGAGACGTCCATTGGAGACAGGCGGCGTTATCCGCGGCTTTATCTTCAACAACGCCTCGCTCTCGGCCCGCGCCGGGGAAACAGATGGGGGTTTCTGTCTGGGACGCTCGCCCCGTGTTTATATTTTGGGAAGAATCGCAACCCGCGGAGTCCCGGGCGGGCCCCCTGATAAATGAACATTAGCACTTTTTCGGACTACTGTATCAACAAAGGGGCTGAGGCGCGGCAATAATTGGCGAGAAAGCAAACAGAGGGCCGAGAGCGCGCCTCTGCTCTTCGTCCGGCTGATGGATGAGCCGCGGCGGCTGCGGGCCCGGCTCCCGGCCCTCGCCCCGGCTCCCCGTCCGGCCGCGCGGGGGCCCCTCGGCCGCCCTGGCTTCCTTCCGGGCCCGGGGCGGGGTGGTGGGGGCGGGGGCGACTCTTGGGCCCTCGCCCTAGGCTCCTGAAGAGTCGGGTGGCCTCCGTCCCCACCCCCCCGGGTTTTTCTTGCCCCGGGATGCGCCTTGTTCAGGTGGCTCCTTCCGTGCCAAGTCTTCCTCGTGCCACCGCCGTTTCTTGGGCGCCCACTGGGTGAGCCCCACGCTGTCGCCTACTTCATCTCCGATCCGCTTACCTCGATTGCTCCTTAGAGGTCAAAGGCTCAGGGAGGTGAAATGACTTGCCCAAGGTCACAGAGATGGGAAGTGACCACGAGTCAGCACCGGAACAGAGGACCGACCGCGGAGCCGTGAACCCCTCATGGCAGGTCCCCGCCTCACCCACGGCAGGGGAGGCAAGACGCCCTCCCCCCACCCTCTTCTCCCGCCAGCGCAGCCAGAGCAGGACCCGGTTGCTGGATTTAGGGTGCTGGGTTCCCCAAAACCTTCTGGAGAAGGGGGACTTTCGCATAAGGTTCATTTGACAGAATGAGGGGGAAATTTAAGATTCCTTCCCCACCCTTCTCCCCCCCCCCGCCCCCTTCTTTTGGTAAGGGCTCGGTTAAGATGTAATAGGCGTCTTTCACACGCCATACACTTCATCCATTTAAAGCATACAGGTCAGTGATTCTTAGTATGGTGACAGATGTGTGTGACCAGCACACATTTTTAGGATCTTTTCATCACCTCCCCAGAGAGACCCTAACCCTCCCCCCCATCTCCCCCCCCCCCAGCCCCAGACAACAAGCGTCAATCCACCTACTTTCCGTCTCTATACTTTGCCCTGTCTGGGAATTACACACAGATGTAACCACATCACATGTGGCCTTTTGCGACTGGCTCCTTTCACTTAGCGTGTTGGTTTCCAGGCCCGTCCGTGTAACGTGGGTTAGTACACCATTCCTTTTCATGGCCGAATAGTATTCCATTGGACGGATAGGCCACATTTTGTGTCTACGTTGGTCAGAGATGGGTGTTGGGATTGCTTCCGTTTCAGCTGTGAGGAATGACCCGCCCCCAGGCCACGTTCCCCCAAAAGTTGAAACTTTGGAGGCCAGAGGCGGACTCTCGTCTGCCCTCCCCTATAACTGCCCCTCCCCTTTCCCAAGGCCGGCTTCCGGGGCGTGCGACCTGGGCCTTTGCATGGGCGGGGGGGCCTGAGTGTGGAAGGCCCCACGCAGCGCTGTTGGTGTCTACGCGTTCTCGATGTGTTTTCCATGACAGTCTCCACGTTGTCATTCTCTACTGGACCCCACAAACGAGACAGCTGGCCCACTTTCTGGGCAGCGTGAGCGAGCTCCAGAGATGCCATCTCTGTGTCCCCAAGACCTCCCCTCCATCGGGCTCTG